GAGGGTTTTCCATTATAGATTCAGGGGACAAGTAAGCTGCATCTGAGAAAAATCTGTCTCTCTGCAGAGCAGTATTGGTGTTTTTAATACAGTTTTATGATATGCTAAGACAGCTAGTACAATGACAGCCCAGCACTATTACACAACAAATTATTTGGATATGTTGAGAGGCTTATAGAAGCTGTTTGAAAAAAGGAGTACATGAACCGGTTAAATGAAACGGAAAAGACTGGCATGAAAAAAATATTTTCAATAAACTCCGACTGTAGCTGCTATATGTTATTTAGTCTTTATAATGTGGTACCATTGGAGAGTTTCTGTGATGAGTGACTTCAATTGATGATCACCTGATTTCTAATCTCACCTTTCCTGTTTCTGTCTGTGCTTTGCTTCTCACTTGATAGGCGTTAACTTTTTCATTTGGTTTGATAGGCGAGTGGGAGCTATTAATGTCTTAAGATTGCCCAAAAATGAAGGTGGTTGGATATTAAAACATTATGCGCTCGCACTAGAATGGATTATTTCATTAAAATGAAGAGGGAAAAAAAGGAAAAACCTGGAGGACAAATGGAAACAACAGTAACTGTTACAGTTGGGCCGAACGAGTCCAATCAGGTGATTTCTGTCATTGTGATGGGCCTCATCATGCCCACACACAGGACATGGAATAGTGAGTTCTCCCATTAACTTGTGTGTGACCCTGTCTGTTGTTGTTCTTATGATGCGGAAGTTCCTATATCTGCTAAATAATAACAGAATTAAATTAATCTAATGGTTGGTTATCTGAAATCTTCTAGTTTAAGTCTCTAACTTTTCGATTGATCCACCATTGTCATTCCTCGCCATCTCGTTATGATTCTTTGGAAATGAAAGATGAAACAAATTAGTTTCTATAAGTCAAACGTTTACGTACAAAAAATATAAGAAATTATCTGTTTTTCCACAATATTTTAAATGCTTCAAAATATTCTTCAATCTCAAATTCTCTCTGAGATTATTGTTTGTGAATTTAGGATGGCTTTAAGGAAGCCATGAGAATGTCATAAAGACTAGTTAACTCACAATTACTTCTAATCAAGAGATTGCTCTTAAAAGGAATACTTCTGCTCTCTTTGGTGCATATTTTCTGCACTAATATCCCAGTCCAATGTTGTCGTCCCATTAATGGGGAGACTTAATTTCTTCCGTCATCTCCCCTGAAGCGCTTTCTCCTCCTAGCCTCCACAGAGAGATGGGCCTTGGCTTGTGAAGGCAGTTGTCAAGCTGTCTGAAAAGAGGCGGAGCGGTGTGAATAACTACGGCGCTGATTGGAATGGTCCAGGCCTAAACATCAACAGCGGGCCTGTGTTCTCAGCTGGTGGGGACCGACACTGCTGCCTTTGTGTCCTGTTCCCAGTCCTACCAGGACAGGTCGCACTTGCCCCAAACACACGCACGTCTATACACACACGCACAGTAAAAGCCTTAATGCCTCGGGGTGGGGGGCGGGTGTGGGGGGCTGCTCTTTGAGACATTTACGTTTGAAGCTTTGCAACGATGCTGAGGAGAATTAAAATGTCTCCAGCTGTTCCGCCCTAGCGTTAACACTTAGAACTATACTTTTCACACTGTTTATTTCCCATGTGTCCGGTCCCCGTTGTCTGTCTCGCCTGAGTAGCTAAACTCTGGAGACGTTTAGATTATGTCAGCCATTCTCACAGAAGAGCTGGCTGGCACGTTTTCTCTCTCTGTCATGTTTCATCAGTGGTCAGCTGTTGGAGCTAATAAAGCTTCGGATGTTTGTCTGGTGGATCTGATTTCTGCATAAGAAATCTGTGAAACCTATGGAGAGCGTCTGGCTGTTGAAAGAAAAGCCTACATAACAGGATGCAAAATACAAACACTGGTTGCAGCCACACTATTGCAACCATAAACCAGGTGTCAGAATCATGCCAAGCTGGAAGCAACAAGTTCAATTAAAAACCTGGATCCAGTGAGAGACACTGGTAGGTTTTTGACTGTAACGGTTGGTTGTGCGGTGTGCCCCTTCGTCATGTCTTCCGTGCCAAAACACGTGTGGTTTCAGCTGACTTGAATTAAGAACACTCAGTGAAGTTGTGTGTGTTGGTAGACAGGCCTTTGCAAAACCTTTAGCATCGAAGCAGCTGCCGTAGCAAAGAGAATACAACTGGACAACAAGGGGAAGTAAAGAAATCTCTAATCCGCTAATCCTTTTTTCTACGTTAAAACAAAGGCGCTGCTTACTGGGCTCAGCCAGTGATGAACCCAAACTCGGGTACGCAGATCTGTGTGTGGATGCAAAACACAGAAAACAAAATCTGTGGTCCCATGATGCCTATGCGTCATATAAATTAGCCATTCGCCTCATGAGCTCTGTAAAGTTCGTTCTGTGATAACAGCGGATTCCACAAACCCAGCCTCCTTACCGTGGCGTTTGCAGTTTGCGCATACGTGAGGCATGCGTCCGAAAAGAGAGCCTACTCACCTGCTGGAACTGTGGCCAGCCTCATCCAGCTGCAGCTGGAGCCTGGTTAATCTTGCGGGCTCCTTGGCACCGGCTTCCCTGGCACAGGCTCCGTGTCTGCTCCAACCGTCACATTGTTACCCATCAGTAATCAAGCAATATCCTGAGTCTTGCTGCGAGATTTGCACATTCCCCGCTGCTTTTCCTAGTACTACACATCCTCCTGCTAACACTGGCCTTCTCCCAAGAGACATAAGCAAGCAGTTGATCTGCAAATTCCTCCTCGTTTTGTCCATTTTCAGCACACGTGTGCCCTTTTCCCTTAAAGAAATGAAGCTGGAGAATTGGCATTATCCCTGCCCTCCCCCGACCTGTTTTTCTTAGCTTTTCATTGATTTTTTTATTTTCATTTTTTCGTTACTTTTTATTATCGTCAAACACGACCACTACTGTCACGCATTTTTGTGACCGAGGTGTAAGTTCCTGCTAACACCACTTTCTATCATCCTGTTGCAGCTGTCAAATGATTAAATGCGTGAGGTTCCTCCATTTCAGCATCAGCCATAGTGTCAGCTAAAATTGTTTTCCAAGAGATTGTTTTGTGTATTGCTGATGCTGAATATGTCCGTTTCATGTCACTCACGAGAAAAGCCCGATAAAATAGGACTTGATCATTCAACTGAATTCGCTGTGAAAGGCATCAAATTCGATTTAGGACAGCATATGACAGTGGCCCTGGTCTGGTTTGGAAAAAAAATTGGATTTGTGCTGTCCAGACTGAGTGTTTCGCTGACAAGGCATCTTTGGCTGCACCGGGCAGCGAAAATGTGTGAATCAGATAAATTCAACGTCTGTATCTCACAGTCAAGTCAGTCAAACATCAAAACCTAGGAATATTGTTTGCTGTGTGCAGTTAAGGGAACAGTTTGCTCTCATGTAATCATTTCGGTGTTGTCATCGAGGGAAGTGCCAGACCGTGTCACTCATCTCTGATTGTTGGCAGCCTCAGGTTCTCTGGGCAAAGTCCAGAGAGCTTGTTTACTACTTTTAGCAGAATTTAGCCACTCAGGTAGAACAGCCTGATCTGACCGTTTGATTTAAAGTGCAGGCTCAGTTTACTGTCCTCTTTAAATATTGTTGACAATTGAAATTCTATTTTTTAATGTGTATTTTGAATGCTTCACTTCAAGCCTTGTTTTGAATAGGAGAGGTTTTATGCAGCTTGTGTGCCAGTTGCCGTTATAGTACACCAGCAATGTGGCTTTAAGCAGTTGAAACGGAATGGAAAATTCTATAAATACATGCATGATTTATTATCCAGAGTATTCAATCTGTATTCAGGAAAAAAAAACAACCTTCATTTATATGGGGGGCATGTTGTCCATTTCTATCAGCCAGAATCTTAATTATTCTCGTTTTCTTAAACGGGGAATCTGTTTATCATTTCCCCTTGACAGTCCGTGCGGTGAGCCAAAAGGAACTTTTCTCTCCTTCCTTTTACTCCATTTTAAGAAGACAGAGCACTAGCGGAACTGCTTCATCATGGTGTTTTTTTGGTGTGTAAAGTTGGAACTTCCCAAAGACAAGGCTGGTGTAACCTTCAGAGCGTCACCATGTGTCTGTTTGAACAGAAACTCCCCCTCACCGTGGTGTCAGCTCAGACTGCGGGGCCCTTTCTTCTTTTTTCTTTTTTTTCTGGACATATGTGCAACTTTTGTAGGCAGGATTTACAATAATGCCCCTGCGCTGTCGTGATCTCTGACGGCTGTCATTTCAAGGCAAGCCACAATTTCAATTCATTTCTTTGCTGGTCTGATCTTCTATTCCACAGAATAGTAAGAGCTGACAGCCGTCTGTGGAAAATGTCTGGCCTTTTGCTGCCCAGAGCCTTAGCCGAGGATGTGCGTGCTTCATGCTGCGTAGTTGTGTATTTTGAGGGTCATCCCGGAAAGACTTCACTTCAGGCCAGTGCGAATGGAGAGTGTACTGACAGGCACCCCTGGGTGTGTGTGTGTGTCTGTCTGTTTGTGTGTGTCAATTCCTTGTGGTGGATGAGCTCTCTCTGCCCCAGGCTGTTAGAATAAACATGGCAGATGATAAGAAGAGCCCATATGCTCTCGGTGCAAGAGGCTTCTATTAAAACATTAACCACAGAAGAGTAACTTGTCCTGAAAGTAAAAAAAGGGGACAAGCGGGTGGTGGGCTTGTGTTCACTCAGGTATTAAAAATGGCTGGCATGTTCCTGCTGTGAAACTAAGCCAGAACTGTACTCTGGTCTCAGAATTCAGACCACAGATTCAGCTGACTGGCTTTTCTTTTTTTTTTTTGGCTAAAGCAGCTGAGTAATAAAGGTAAACAGTGAGAAATAACAACAGACTGGTCCTGGATGAAAATAAGCTAAAGCCAAAGCTGGAAGGAATGGGAGGGGTGAGGGGGGTGAGACGAGGGTCCAGATGTGAGACAGCCTTGCTGGCAGCCTGTTTACATTTCTCAGCTAACGGGAGCGTATTTTTAACCTCTGCCTGTTTTTGTTCTCTCTGCAGGTGCTGGAGAGTCAGGGAAGAGCACCATTGTGAAGCAGATGAAGTGAGTGACTCCTCATTGTTTTTCTTTTCCTCCCATCATGACTACCAGACTGATGTTTTACCAGATTTAGTCAATTTACCGCTGGATTTCTGGATGCTTTGCCAGTATTTATTGGACTGTGAGCAGGTTGGATTGCCTACATGTTTGCAGCACAAACCTATTTCCCATACAGGAAAAAAATTTATTGTTTTTGTTTTTTTTCCACATCAGCGCTGATCCACAGTTTGGTGTATTTATGTATAATTATGTTATCTCAGAAAGGAGAGGGAAACATTTGACTTTGTCTACTTTGTTCGTGGCTGAATTGGAAACATTTAAAATCTATAGCTGAATTGATATGATTTCAAATGATCAGATACTCACATGGATAGATACAGAGAACACAAAGTAGAGTTTAACTCTTTAAAAAAAAAGTGCTTGATTAACCATCCAGCTCATCAGGGATTAAAACGGTCACGAGTAATATGAATGAAGGCTTCAAAAACCACAAGCAAACACTGCTACACTGCTAGCTTATGTTAAGGAATATTGGGACCAAAAGGGGGACGGACAGAATGGAGACAGTACTTTAGGTCCTTTAAGTTCAGTCTCTGTTCAGCTCCCAGATGAAACTTTGGCAGATGGTGATTCTCAGCAGCTGTTCCCTCAGGATCTGTGGAAAATCAACCCACTGAGTGTAGTTACTGTATTATGTGTTACTACATTTAGCCTCTTAGGTGTACATATCACTGTTACATCTGCAGTGTTTTCATTTAATCTGCAGTGTGTAGCTCCTAACAAGCTCACAGTGTCCTTTACATAGCTCTTTAATCCAAAGATGATACATTTCAGATGCTTTGCCAATTTAGAACTTGCGTTGTTCACTTTTCACCCTGTGAATCTAGTTCTGCTTCGTCTAAACCTGAATAAGTTTAATACTTTCAAGTACCACTGGATGTGTAGCTGGGGACTTCAACATGAACTCAAATTTACCTTCACTGAAGCAACCAAAATGTGTATGGATCAGTGCATTTTGACCTGTGAGGAAAGTCTAAGCTTTTTCAGTATGAAGAATAAAAAAGGTCTACATTTAGAAATTGGCTTGAAGTTCAGACAGAATCTGGCCAATATTGAGCACTTCTCTGGAGGTTTAATTTAATGTAGTTTTGAGTTCTAGAGAAAACTGAGAGAAACAATGATCTGGCTCTTACTTAGCATGCAAAAAAAGATGAAGTGTGACAGTTACAGGAAATGAAATTTTCTTTCTATAGTTTTCTCTGTTTTCTGAGCCATTTCAAATGTCTCTGGTTTATAGATCTACAGTGAGGAAGTAATAGTCCTGATGTGTTTTAATGAGAAGACAGAGGTTCCACTCAGTTCATGTAATGATCTTTTGACCTGTCAGAGATTCAGAGTTTTTACAAAGCATAACTGTAACCCTTTTGATAGAGCGCATTGGGATTTTAGTAGAGGTTTTGTTGGTATGTGGAATGCTTTAATATGGTCATTCATAAACCTCTTCACTCTGAGTTGTTAATCATAAGCTGTTAGTTGTCATTTCCAATGACTTTGTACTAAAATGTAGTTGAAACTGAACAGGTTAAACATTAATCCCTTGGGCTGTAACAAAGGTTTGACTGATATGACAACGGCATTTACACTCTTGACAACAGTTTTTCAGCTGCTGTTTGACAGCCCCCCAAATATTTTCTGATGCTTGTTGACTGGGACGTAAGCTTTTAAAAAGGCTTCTTAGATCATTTGTATTGTTTGTATGAGGGTGAAAAGACCACGGGCTTTCAGTAGTTTTGGCTATGCCTCGCTGTGCTTCACAGCGAGCTCACTTGAATCTTAATTAGTTCCCATTCAGCACACCAAACAACCTCTGAACATCTTGGCTGTGACACACCGAGGGGAGATGGTTCTGTTTGGTTTCCATCCAAGCAGCTTCTTTCTCAGCCTCGTGCTTTTTCAAACATGTGTTCCTTTTCTTTCACTCTTCATGTCCACGTCTCAAGAAGAAAGTTGAGATTTGTTCAAGAGTCTTTGAGCCGAAGATACAAAAAAAATGTGCTAAACCTTCTATCACTTAAATTACATACTGTGGATTTGGAAAAAAGGAAGAGTAAAAAAGATGGATCTCTGTAATATTGTAACAGTGTTCTCTGTAGCAACATTTGTTGCAAAAATCTCAAATGTAAATGACAAAAATGACATTCTGATGTGGTCGTGCCTTTTTTCCATCTCCCTGCTTTTCTTTCTTTCTCTCAGGATTATCCATGAGGACGGTTACTCAGAAGATGAGTGTAAGCAGTACAGAGGAGTTGTGTACAGTAACACAATTCAGTCCATTATGGCGATCGTCAAAGCCATGGCCAACCTCAAGATTGACTACGAGGACACTGCTAGAGCGGTAGGACTCTGAAACCCACAACCACTCACACATGGTGTCATTTCTTTAAAACCGAATGGAGACCTTTTCTGAATTACCACTAAACCTTCAGATGTTTAAAGAAAACCTCAAATAATCCCCGCCATCCTTTTCTTAACCTCTCAAATGTATTTGAGGCAGTGCTTGAGCTTAAATGAGGATCATTTCTACAGGGAAATTAACTCTCAGAAGCAGCTGGTGAGGATGGCATTTGCATAGACACGTGTTTCCTGACCATGCATGTGTGAATGAATTTCTGCTACAGGAGCCTGTAAACAGCCACCTTTCAACAAGGCACAGCCCCGGAAATAGATAAGATCTCAGAAATGAAAGTCAGGCGTAACTCATAAGAAGAGATGAAGAGAAAATTACATTCTTCCTTCTATACTGGACGAAGTTGATTCCTGTCTTACATTTTCTGAGGTTTATGTATCAGTGAGTTCCAGTCACCATTGTCAGTTTTCAGATTAGAGCAGAAGTCCGTTTAGTTCTCTGATAAATTCAATTTGGAAACATGTTTGCAGGGAATGGCTTTGTTGGCTTTCCTTTTCCACATTCTGAAAACCTCACCAACTTGACACACATTTCTATACAACTTGTTTATTTCTCAGGCTTTAAATGAATGCCAATAAGACTTTAAGCACAGTTCACAGTGATTTCTGTTACATGTGTAAAATCAGTGTGTGTCGGGCCTGCCTCGTCTCACCTTCTGTGTGTATGAAGAACATGCAGGCTTAACTTCCTGTCACATGGGACAGTGCATGCAGTTAGTTCCCAAATAAGACTACATACTTTCCAATAAGAGCTTTTCTTAATTTGTTTCCTTATATAGACTTCCACCATCACTTCATTATTACCTAATTTCCCGCCATGCATGCACTCTGAGTCTGTTTGAAATGTTTTCAGGATTTATTCCCTTTCATATCCATTTCAATATTCTTAATATATTTCTGTGGTATGACAACCTAAATAGAAGCTGGGAGCGCCAGTTTTCCATCTAAAGGTCACATAACGGTCTCGGCTAGTCTTTGGCCTGGTTAAAGAAGTACTTCTTCTGCACACTCTTTGGCCTCCGCAAAGAGCAGCTCATCACTTATTCAGATTACTGTTCTTTTGTGCACAGTCAAGAGTACCATGTAGAAAATGCTGACCTACGTTGACTCACCCTTCAGATGGATCAAAGGGTCAGACAATGGTTAACCAAAACGTGGAATTCTGCTCTCAGTAGCCAGAATCAGAAATGTATGCAAGTCACTGTTAAACATAAAGGGACAAACCGTTTAATGGTATTGGTCAGTGAGCTATTATTGTAACTTTGATCATATCTACACCAAAGTACAAAATACTGGCAGTAGTTTTTGTTCAAATAGATTTTCCACCCGGCTGTGGTTGTCTAAACTCTGTCCCTGGAGTCATGTTAGGTCTTCTGATTGAGTCCTGATGCTTTTCACCATTCAGAATGGCTGTCACATGATTTATTCTCATCTTTTCTTTACTTCTTCTCTTTGTCACATTGGTTGGGATGGAGTGTGTGCAGCTACTTCAATTAACAACAAAGAACAACATTTTTCTTTCTTCTTGTGACACAAAAAGATTGTTCAGTCATCCAATTTCAGAATCAGCCGAACAGATTCTTTCTTTGAAAAAGGGAGCGCTTGCCTTCAGCAAGCTCCGAATACCCTAAATCAAAACTTGGTTGTATTTGGTAAACAGACTCATAATCACCAAACCTGTCTGATTTATTTTGAGAAAACGTCTCTTCTCTTTGGTGGCTGGTGACATTGAATCATTCTTATTATTTTTTTTTGTTTTGCACAAAAGGGAAACACCTGTCCCTAATATAACACCTCTATACTCTGCCGCAGTCTGAAGAACAAATGTACCGATTAAAATTTGTTTGATGTTTTTAAGATTCTTGTGATTGATGACACAAACGTGTGTGTAATTATCCTCTCTCAGGATGATGCCCGCCAGCTGTTTGCACTGTCTGGGTCTGCAGAGGAGCAGGGCACCTTGCCAGAGGACCTGTTTAACGTCATCCAGCGACTGTGGGCTGACGGCGGCGTCCAGAGCTGCTTCACACGGGCCCGGGAGTACCAGCTCAATGACTCTGCAGCTTAGTGAGTTCTCAGGAACAGCGGAGATAACCGGAGGGTTATTGACAGGGTCATATAGGCTCAGCACAACAGTGATTTTTTTTCTTTTACATTGTAACTTTTTGCACATCTTACAAATCATGAGGTTATTTTTCTCAACAAAGAAAATGAATGCAAAAGTATTTTTCTTAAGTGACTGGCAATGGAAATTATATAATACAAAATGATCATTAAGAGTGAAAAAACATTCTTTCTTTGATCTCGAAGGAAAACATTGGAAGGTCAAGAAAATAGAGGCTAACTACTTCCAAACTGTTTTATAATGCAAAACCATGTTGTTTCACACAGGATATTTTGAACATGGTCGCCCCAGGTGAAACATTGCTTCATTTCACACTACATAAGACACCTGAAGTCATAAAAAAGAATTTTGCTGTCTGTCAGGCAGAGAATGGTTTAAACTCCTCACCCTTCATAGATAATTTAGTTAAATCCCAGCTGATGTGAATTACTGTGAATAATCGAGGATCGCTCTGAACGTTACTCTAAGGAGTTTTAGACACTATTGACTGCTTAAAACGTAGCTTTTAGAGAATTAGATCATCATTCTGCACAGCTGTGTCTGTGAGCTTGTGTCATTCCACTCCATTAAAAAGCTGCTTAGTTTTCTTTTGCTTCCCATCGCAGGTGAAGCATTCATAAATAATGAAGACATGAATGTTTTGCCAAGACGTGGATTTGCTTGTGGCGAGCAGCAGCTATGCTGTCTGTCTCAGTCTCCCTGTGAAGGTCTTAATTACTTCAATGATCCTCTTCTATTGAGTGCTCCATTAGCTGGCCACATGGTTCTCATCCACCAGAGTAATAACAGCAGGAGCATGAGGGCGAATGGGAGCCGCTGCTGGTAAGAGGTGAGAGGTGGTTATCTCTCTAACCCTCAGGGATGCACTGCTGCTCCGATACCAACGCCTAGAGAACACAAAGCCTCGTTCACCACCATCTGCACACAAGCTGCAGCAGGAATAAATTGCTTTCATTGGTCTCTGATAATAAAAGACCTTTGATAATACTATGACACCTCCGGATTGGTCTGTAAGCCGTCAGGGGAGTGTTGAGTGTTTCACAAATGACTTCTCTCCATTCGGGCCAGTAATTAACTCACAGGGAGAGGGACATTGCTTTGCATTCGTGTTGTCTTGTATAATCACAGCTTCTGCTTCTCAGCTGTTTTATGAAGCTGAAACACACTGTGAAACAGCTGGGAGGTTGGTTGGTGTACAGCATTTAATCTTGACTCTAGGGAGCACAGAGAGAATGAGGTTGATCTAAAGGAAAATGAAGCCTTTACCTGACGAGGCTAAAAATTTCCTTTATTTGATTTATTTGTTCTTGGAGGTATCGTTTGACATCGCCATAATATACTACATACACACATACTGAAAGAAGCTTTCTGTCAACTTTGGACTTTTTCAGATTGAGCATTCTTTGAGGGAGTTACTCAAACATAGAAAGCGGCACCAGCACTGTAGCCGTGGTTTGAGGGTTAAGTGAGCTGGACCTTAAGCCTTGTCTGAGGCCCTGATGAGAGCCAGAGAACAGAAGGGAAAGATACAGTGTGAGAGAAGGAAGAGTCACACCTCCTATTAACAACGCTAATCTCACACTTATCTTTACTCGCGCTGTAATTGTACTTTGACTTGTGTCTGCAGCAGTCCTATCTCTCATAGTTGCTCTTATTGTGGCCACATCTTTGTAACACCATTATGTTCCCCTTTCATTCTCTGTCACACTGCAGTTGAAAAGGATATTATATATCGCTTAAGGGCTTATAAACACAATAACGGAGTGAAGCTCAGTGGAGACTCTTGTGTGCTTTGCAAAGGAAGCCTAAAGCTGTCTCTGTGGGGGGAGGGCCTTTGATTGAACTGTCAGACACGTGGTATGAAGTTGTGGTATGAAGATTCAAATATTTGCACTTGGTCTGTGGTGTGCCTGGGATTACATAGTACCAAGCCCCCCCCCCCCA